TTGCTTTGCATGTAATGAGTCTATCTCATATACTAGTTTCACCTTTTAAGTTGCATTACTGAAATAAATGAACTTTTGCATGATATTCTAATTTTTCAAGTTTCACCTGTACAATTCAATTTCAACCTAAGAGTAGTTGCTACAAATTTAAATGCAAGTATTAGTTCAAATTTTCTCTACTTCCTTTCCCTTCAGTCACTGAAGACTACAGAATTCCTGATTTCCTCTAACATGTTAATATACATTTTTAAATGTACATTTTAAAAATCAGTTTAGTACTCCCAATATCACTTGGTGTAAGTGAATGATTATATCTTCTCAAGTTTGTGTTGACTCTTGATGACAGTTTCCCTTGAGAATAATGCAACTAGTACACCTTAAAGGGAACTGACCTGTATTTGCAATGTTCACACAAGTTTGTTTTCTAATAAAATCCACAAGCTGGCCCAGTCGAGTAGATGAACTATATTGTATTTCCTCATCACATAAGTAGCACCTAGTTTGATTAAAGAGTCCAGAAATGCACAATTAATATATTGGTTTACATCAAACTAGAACAATATGTAGTAGAACATAATTTACACATTTTTGAAATGCAAATATATTACTTTAACAGTCCTTAGAAAAATACCTCATTCTATTTTGTGCTAAATATTTACCATTAGTCTAGTGGTTAAGGCATCAGGCTAAAAAGCAAGAAACTGTGAGTTCAAGTCCTGCCTTAACCATGAAAGCCAGCTGGGTGATTTTGGGCCAGTTACTCTCTCTCTCAGCTTAAGCCATCTCCCAGGGTTATTGTTGTGAAAACAGGAGTTGAAAACAGGAATAGGAAGGTATAGTGGGCATGTTTGTTGCCTTGAGTTATTTACAAAAATAGCAAAGGTGGGATACAATTGAATAATAAAAATAAATTGTTATTTTTTATATTGATAAAACTTACCAGACACACCAGTTTTCCACATTAAGAACCAAACAGTGAGGTTCTGATCTTGGTGTTTCATAGTGTTTTAAGGCATGTTGCTCTTGAGAATTTCTGCCACAACCCTGTAATGTAACATCACAAACATGAAATTTTAGCATTCATATACAATGTGATTTGGACAGCTAAGGGAAACATTCAGAAATAATTGCATCTGCCCTAAGAGGTGTCATAAAATACTGGCTGAATGACAGTACAAATTTATGTGTTTGTTCATTTACTGTTTTCTTTCTTTTGGATCTGGAAATAATTGTGCATTCCAATTTACAGAAAGAAGCTATGCTTAAATTTTCTCTCATGTAGAGGATGTATTGCGATGCTCGGATGTGATTGTGTGACACAATTTTTGGGGTTTTATTATTTTCCTCAGCAGGAGTAAAATGAAATCCCAATTTAAAACATTTGCAATATATTTTCCATTGATAGTAATAGTAACTGGGACATACCCTATGGCCACATTTTAAACATAACCATATTGATGGCTTGTCTTCTGCACTATCAGTTTTTTCATCTGTCTTATTGTCATCTATCTGGCAATCCTGACAGGAATTCAAGTCCACAGTCTGCAACACTTTTTTGAGAAGACCTTGTTCCAATCCTTTGCGAAGGTGCTTGCATGTTGGTCCTGTGAGAAATTTTACACAGAATAAGAATCAACATTAAAGGGCCTTTAAATATATATTATTTAGAGTCCATAAGATATGGCCAAAGATCAGTTGGTTGTCAGTACCAAACCTCTGAGAAATGGACTACCCTATACATATACACATACACATATACACATAGAGAAGAAAAAGTAAATCCGTTTCAGAAATCTGATCCATTCATTTTGTGATGTGGTTTGTCAATGGCTCTTAGCTACAGTACTTATCTGAAAAGTAGTTCCTGGATTTTAATTTGATGAAAACTAGATTACCTAAACATATGGACTAAGATAAACATGTTTACCCATAAATATGGGCTTATGCCTTATATATGGACTAAGATAAACATGCTTACCCATAAATACTGTTTCACTTTATAGAAGTTGAACCTTAATTGGATAAACATCTTCAAGGCCACATTAAGCATTTTGCTAAGGAGTAAAATCTTACTGTTCTCCATAGCAGTGTAACTTAAACAAATTATCTGTATATGTTATGCATACCCAGTACATCTGGTGAGACATCTGCAGGAATATTTTTTCCTTTTGTTCGCTTCTTTCCCATTAGAGCAATACAGGCTTTAATTTCACATCAAACTATAAAAGAAAACAGATTATTTTCCAATAAAATTTTAAAACCTGTAAATAGCAACTAATTTATTATATTATATACAAGAAATGATGAAATTTACGTTTCTGCTTCCTTTCTATTGTGTTTATCAATGGAACTAAATATTTTATATATATATATCTGTTCAAAGCATTGTGACGAACTGTTTTAGAAAATATTCCATTATTTTAATAATGTCTCCATTGTAGCTTTTAAATACTAATCTTTGTGATTAAGCAAAGGGAATTTTAAATTCAGCAATAGAGTTTAAAGAAAATATAATTTTGTGTATATTGAATGGGATCAAGCTACAATCTCAACATATTTAATTCAGAGCTAAAGATTGTTTAACTCTGGGAAAATTAATAAACCTTATCAATGATACACAAATTTGCAAATGTAATTGTACTTCCATAAAGATCATTCAAGGACAATAACTCCACCCTATCCTACTTTAGCGAATTGTTTTATGAATTTCTTTTTTCCCAGGGAAGTTCTTTAATTCAATCTGGCTTTTATTCATTTTTTCAACAGCTTAGAAAATTAAATAGCTGCTTCTTTTACTAGTGAATTTTAGGTTTCTCATACTTGACTAATATGAAGATATGAGTCGAAAGCATTTGACAAAACACTTTATAAAGTGAAAACGTAACATTAAACACAGCAGTTTGCGTATCTCTGGACATACTTCATTTTTCTTATGCTTGCAAAATGAAAAGATAAAAAAAACAACGAAACCCCAAACCCATTATTCTTAAATAGGGGTAATAGTTCTTTAAATGGGCTAATTTTCTGCGTTTTCAAGAACAACCTGAAATATTCAATTAATTGCTCCATGCCAGGAAAAAGCTAGCATTTGCCTGTTGAGCATTAATTAAAAAGAGCAAAAATCAGTTGATAATAATTTAAAGGGCACGTCCGACCAAGCTCTCAGCTCTTGGATTGACAAGCAAAATTACTGAATTGCTGCACTTTCAAATATAATGTCCAGTCTTTTGCAGTGGTTGGCAACTTTTCTTTCTCTCAGCCTACACCTGCTTCAGTCAAAGGGCGGAGACAGAGAAACAGCTGGAAATGCCAAATGCCAGCACAAATTCTGGCAGGAAAACAAATATGGCACCAGAAACGCTGCGGGCAACCGGCTTCAGCCATTTCTGCCCGAACGAGCCGCAAGTGAAGCAATCCAGCCGGCCTTTGATTGGCCACTTCAAGTTTTTCTCAGTCCGCCTATTCGCCCTTTACTGACAACAGCAGAAACGAATAGTGAAGCAATTCTTACCTTCTGCGAGTTAGAGACAGAAGTTCAAGGGGCCGCTGAAGGGAAAAAAAAAAGTTCCACGCAGCGAGTTGGAAAACATCTCCTGTCACTGCGCCTCGAGAAGAAACTTCCCGAATTTAAATATTTTACGACACATCCCTGCGACGCCAGTGGAGATTTACGACTCTCGGGCAATCCTGTCCAATATTAGTGACATAGAGCGCTGGCTCCGGAGAGGCTCCTTTATTCGGCAAAACTTCCGGTCCGTTGGCTGTTGGGTAAGAAGTCTCGACGAAAATGTAAGGCAAGGCGGCGGTGGCGGAAGTGTGTAGTCAGCGGGGAGTCGTCGCTCTCCAGCTGATGACGCGGCGTAGCAAAAATGGGAACAACGCGACAAAAAGCAGGATTTTAAGCGCAGGGGCTTGCGATCGAGCGGTGGTGTGTGGCGTTTTTCGTTTTCCGTTTTCCAGTGGAAGCAAACTAGGCTCCCTCATCTCCGTCTTTAATATAAAAAAAAGAACATCTAAAACCAGAATAGTGACATTTCATTAAAACTAGTATTTCTGTGTTTTTAGAAAAGCCGTGTGTTCCCATGTAATGTAGCAGACACAGTGGTTTGCAAGCAGTTTTGTGTTTACATTTGGGCTATGAAGGTAGAAGTTGATGGTTTTTCCTATGTAGGAATTTGGCTTGCAATCTAAATTGGGCTGATTCTCACTCCAGCTTTCGATATTAACAATTACTATATTGCAGAGCTTCATCGTCAGGCTTACTGTATTTAGGAAATAAGCTCTGTATCGACTTCTTCATCGTTTAATGTGTTTTATATTTGTTAGTATATAAAATAATTGTAAAAAAGACTTAAAGGTTAACTTGTAAAAATATCTTCGTTAGAGTTAATAGTGTTCAGAAAAAGAAAAGTTAAGAATATCTTGATTTTGCTACTCCTGAGTGCTGCTTCGTTGGCATAGGAAGGGAAAATATATTTTGACCAAGTTGTTTGCATTGTGATTTCACATTTTATCTCACCAGTTCTAAATTCCAACCTTCAGGAGAACATGTGCTCATATTTGGTCATATTTGTATCAATAATTCACTTTTTTTCTGCCTCTACTGTTTCATATATTACGGAAAGAGGTCAACTTTCAAAGCATACTTAAACATGTTCATGAATTCATGTACTCTAAGTAGTAAGTGAAGCCCCGAATGAGATTGTACATCCTGATCTGGAACTTAATACTGCTAAAAACAAATGGGTTTCTACATCTGCACATAACAATAGTTCTATTTCCTTTTGGGAAAAGCAATTTAATTTTATTAAACATTATAACTTTAAGCTGTTAAAACAGTAAGCTAAAGAAATTAAGAAAAAAGATAAAAAATAGCAATAAACTAACAGTTCAGTAGTTCAACACTATTCACTGTATGTCTCTCTACCTTTGTAGTAGAATGCTACATAATTTCCCCCCAAAGTCATTATATTATCACCATTCCCTAGATTGAATGTGCAATTACTTGTTTGGTCTAGTAGCTAAGGCACTGGCAAGAAACTATGGCACTAGTGAGTTTTAGTCCCACTTTAGGAATGAAAATCAGTTGGGTGACTTTTGCCCAGTCACACTCTCAATACAAGCTACCACCCAGAATTATTGTTAGAAAAATAGGAAGGAGAGTTAGTTATATGTACTTTATCTTTTGGCTGTTCCGGCAGGCCTGGGGCTGTTGAATTATCCAGCCCCATTCGATTTTATGACTGTTGCTAAATTTTTAATTATTGTTTTTATTTTTGTACCCCCTTCCCTTCTTATTGTTAGCCGCCCTGAGTCTCTCGGGAGTAGGGTGGCATACAAGCTAAATAAACCTAACCTAACCTAACCTAACCATATTCTCTGCCTTGAATTATTTCTAAAAATAATAAAGGTGGGATAAAAATAAACATGAAGAAATTGTAATTTGTAAACTACTTGCAATTTTCTCCGCAACAATATCAGGACTTACGTAATGCTCTTGTCTATTGTTTTCACAAATGTATAGCATATCCATTTTTTCTATTTATTGATTCATATTCTTGACTATTTACTTTTCCTCAGTCTCAATTTTTAATATGCCAGATTTTCATCAGATAACCTGATAACTTCTATTACCCATCATGGCTTTGGTCAATCAGGGCTTCGGCATAATATCTTTCAATAAGATAATGAAAATACAGATTTGGTTGCATCTGTGCTACACAGCATTCCCCGCTACCCTATTTTCCCCAAAATAAGTCCTCCCCAGATAATAAGCCCAATCGGGCTTTTGAGTGCATGTGCTAAAATAAGCCCTCCCCCGAAAATATTGCAACACAGCAAAAGCCATGAAGTGACCACGCTCGCTGTCTCCTGCACCTCAAAAATAATAAGACCTCCCTGAAAATAAGGCCAAGTGCTTATTTCAGGGGTCAAAAGAAAATACGACCCTGTTTTATTTTCAGGGAAACACAGTAATGTTACACATAATGCTAATTAGTTTAATACACTTTGGGCCAAATGCCCCAAATCTAAGAAAAGCCCAATCAATCAGGGTCACTATTCTTTGCAGGATGGGAACTTTAATCTAGAGATTATCTTGAAAGCCAACATACTGTTCCTCTTCACCAGTTACAAGGTATACACATTCAGAACTTATTTTATATAATGAACTAGATTCTGATCTTCCAGCAATAGGAAAGCAATAGGAAATTTGTTCATTATTAAGAATACTGTAAATATTTTTTTCCTAATAGATTGTGTCATCATCTTGAAGCTATACAATTATAGTATACCATTTAGGAACTGAAAATGTTTGACTCCATAGTTGTTTTTAAGAATTTAAAAGTGTACTCAACATTTTCTTCATATCTTTATAGGAATTACATTAATACACCAAAAATGAGCAATTTGGAAGAAGCTGAACTACAACTTTCTGAATTAGATTTACTTTCTAGTATGTTTCCTAATGAAGATGACTTTAAGGTGACTGATCAGTTGGCTTTAGCAGAACTGAAAGAGTATGTTGGAAAATGTACTTTAGATGTACCATCTTCGAAAATACAATTCATCTTATATTTAGATGTAGAAACTCCTGATGAAAATAAGGTAATGTATTCATAAATAAAAGAAAAGTTCACAAATTGATTGCTAGTAGAATTTAAAGAATTTATTTTTTAACCTTAAAAAACTTCTTTCTAGGTACCACTTACTTTGTGCTGTGCTTTCCCATTAAAATATCCAACTATTCTTCCAGAAATCACCATAAGGTACATTTTGATACATACAGGATGAGTAGGCTGAAATATGAAATGCAGTATAATTTTAATAGGATACTATAATTCTCATATTGGTAAATAAGAGTGATCTAAGTTACATAATAAAATCTCAAGAAATATATGTTGTTAAGTTCATATGATCTGAAAAGTACGATATAAATCTAATGGATTTTGTGGAACTAATTCTTTATACTAAACATGAAATGCATATATTTAATTAATTTGATTTTGTTAATAAATATATGACTTCGACCCTTGCAATCATCAGGACCATTTTCTTCAGCTTACATTACATGATCTATTCAGAAAAGGCTGCATTGGAAACTAACCCTTAGTGATTAACCACTGAAGTTAGGTTGGTTCCCACCTTTTTATCTTTTGGGAAACAGTAAAAGATTGCACTCTTGTTATATATGCTATAAATGGTATAGGTATATATATGCTGGTCTTGTCGTATTCGGGTCTTTTCCTGTGTAAGATTGAGATTGTCTTGGCAACATTTCGGCGAGGTCCCACTTGCCATCTTCAGGCTGGTGTTTTCGACTTCGTGCCTGTGCAAATGAAGTGTTGTCGGAGCTGCTATCTTTCTATAAATCTTGGTGGGGGTGTGTGGAGTGCTGGCTTTGTTGCTGTAAGTGGGTTGATTGGCTGTGTAGTTGCATCCTGATTGGTAGATGGAGTTGATGTTTGAAACGTTGCCAAGACAATCTCAAACTTACATGGGAAAAGACCTGAATACAACAAGACCAGCATACCTACCCCCATGAAAATCTACGAAAACACACACACACACATACATACATACATACACGTGTGAATACACACATATACATATATGCATACATACACATACATACATATATACGTACAGTATATATGTGTGTGTATATATTTTATACCTGAGTTGCCTTATCAGTGACAGGGCGAGCATATAAGTTAACAAACAAGTAAATGTTATGAGCTATGCCCCAGTTGATCGTGATTGACCTATTTTAGACCTTCCTGAATTGAGCCATATTTTTACCATGGTTTTTGATTAGGCATTTAATATATTTCTTCCTGTTGTCTGGGATACTGTGAAATATAGTTAAATAAGTTTTTGAATGCCTTTGACTTCAGTTGGCAAACTGACTTTTAATTAGTGGGCACCTGTGGGCAATTAGATCATTCTTTACTCTTTGGCTATAACATTTCTTGCTGCATTTGTTATGATTAAATGAACACTTGTAATCTACATGTAATCTGTTACTGTCAACATAAAACAGTTAAGTATAATTGAGAACAAGTCTTGCTTTATATGAAAACAGATTTTTTTTACTTTATCTGTAAATGATGCCCTTTTTTTAGATCTCCAATGTTAAGCCGATCACAGCAAGTTCAGATGAATGCAGAACTCATTACTTACTTGAAGAAACATTGTGCTGGTGATGTTTGCATATTAAATGCAAGAGAATGGGTTAAAGACCATACTGCCATGTATATCAACAAAGGACCCTTACTGTCTACTGTTGAGAAATCAGATTTTCAGAAATCAGAATGTATTCTCACTAGACTCTGGATTTATAGTCATCATATTTATAACAAACAGAAAAGAAAAAATATAATTGATTGGTCTAAGGAACTCTCTCTTTCTGGATTCAGCATGCCTGGGAAACCAGGCATCATTTGTGTAGAAGGACCACAAAAGAAGTGTGAAGAATTTTGGGCAAGGTAACATTTTTTCTCTTAAGTAACAAAGGCTTCTGACTCGGAAAAAATATCTTATATTTATTTGCATTGGAGAGAAGATTCTGTTTAGCAGGGTGGAATATTTCCTTACGAAGATAAGAGATTGGATTAGAAAAATATTTTTTCTCTTTAAATTAGTGGACATATTTACTTTTTTATTCATTCAATTTGTAAGTTGCCTAACTCAAGGCAGTTATAATAATACAGAATACAAAAGTAACAGTAAACATGAAATTAATTTTAAAATTCTTGGATGCTTTTCCGAAAGCAGAGATATTGGGAGTTTAAAAGCAGTTATTAAGGAGAGCAGTTTTCAGTGTGGGAGTGGAATAGAAGACATATTTCCCTTGTGTACATAAGGCTTATGATAGCGGGAATAATATTTTCTCCTATGAACTGTTATCCCAGTGATCATCATCTTGATTTCAATGGGAAATCATTACTACGGTAATTGTAACCTATACTTCCTGTGCTTTGACAATTTATAATATTCTCATTGTGTTTAGAATAAGAAGATTAACATGGCAGAGAATTTTAATCCGTCACAGAGAAGACATTTCCATAGAAGGAACTGAAGTTGAAATGGAGAAAGAAAAGAAGTTTTTGATTTTTGAAGAAAAAATATTTGATGCACATGGTGCTAGGGGGAATCACATGGATTTGGGACAATTGTATCATTTTTTAATTGACAAAAGTTGTGGTGAAATATTTCAACTCTATTTTGGAGTTGAAGGACAATAAGTTAAGGTGGGAAAAGCATTAAGGATATAAACTAAGGATGTAGGTTTTTTTCCTTTTATTTTATTGAAAGAACATAATTATATTATACTTGAAAAATAAATCAATGGAATTAAAACTGGATGGTAGAAAATGTTATTTGCTTTGGTAATTTAAGTAAAGTTTCTGGATATATTACTAATACCTCATTGCTGTTTCTACTTCAGAAATAGCAAAGTTCTGTGCTTATATTACTCAGGGCTAGAAAAAGAGGCCATGTACAGTATCTGACCTTGGCTAAAATTAAGACTTTTGCCAACTTTACATTAAAAATACTTTAGTACTTTTATAGTATTATGTGGATAAATAGTTCAGTTTGCTATTAAATTTGTTTGTATAGCAAGTTGCCTGAACATAATGTTCTCTGGAACACTGGCCAGATGTTTTAGGGCTTAATTCTGTCTTGAACCAAGAAGTGCAACTCAATTATCTTGCAATTGATCAAGATTCTACTGAACAGCAGGTAATACATTTGCAAAGAACTCCATAGTTCACAAGTGTATCCATGAATCTAAACTGAAAAATTACTTCCAAATCTACACTATGCTCATTGGGAAAATGATATGGAAAAATAGGATGGCAGTGGGGATACTGAATTTTGATTGATTGAAGATGGATTTCTAACATATTCTGGGCTTTCCTGCATCAGGAGTCCCTGTGCTCGGTCTTTCAAAACCCTGATCATGTCATATCTGACTACTGCAAGGCGCTCTACATGGGGCTACCCCCCTGAAGAGTAATTAAAAACTACAACTGATGCAGAGTGCAGCAGCACGGGCAGCTTCTGGGGGCCCTTGGAATTGCCCATGCAGTTCGTGAGCTGCACTGGCTCGTAGTTTGCTTTTGGGTGCAATTTAAGGTGCCTATATATTACCTATAAAGCCCTGCATGACATGGATCCAGGTTACCTGAAGAATTGTCTCATCCCAATGGGAGAGGCCCATTCTATCTGTGCCATCAATGCTGTAGATCCCATCATTCAAGGAATTTCAGCTGGCAGTGTCTAGAAGAGCCTCCTGTGTCATGGCTCCTGTTCTTTAGAATAACTTGCCCACTTGGGGTGAGACTTCTCATGCTCCTGACCTGGGCCTGAAAAACGTGGCTCTGCCAGTTGGGTTGGGAGCTGTCATGCTGGAGGTGCTCGATGGACTAATAACAGATCTCATTTCACCCCTTCCACTCTTTGTTCCCTCCCTTCCATCTGTCTGTCCGTCTATCCACCTATCCATCCATCCACCCACCCTAATTGCAACTATTTACAATTAAAATACTTTTTTCATTTGTGTAATTTTTCACTTAAAAAAAATCTTTGCTCAATGTATTTTTATCCCTGTATTGGGGATTTTTTTGGGGGGGAGGGGGGTTGTGTGTTTCTGCCATGCTAAAAATATTAAATGAATAAAAAAAGTTATCTAAATAAACCTTGGCATATACCAATAAATGTTTTGGTTGCATGTTTTTTAAATCTAGACAATCATGATTTTTCCACTTGAAGAACGCCTTTTGAGTTTTGGCATAAAGAGAGCATAAATTCTGTTGTTACCACAACGTACTGCAAACGCGGTTAACAACCATCTTCAGCAGTGTAAAACGTAATTGGTGTACAAGCGTAATCAGAAATGAGGGTGGGGGTGGAAGGATACGTAGTTACCAAAACCAAGAGCTGACATAAAACCATCATGTTAAAAGTGGCAATTTAGAATAGTTAAGAAAGCGTCCACCAAGTATAAAAGCAACAAAAATATTTCCGTCGGACTTCTTTCAGTAAGTTCAGTAACTTGTTCAACAATCATTCCCTCGCGCGCGTTCTTACCCCTCCCCCCACCACGTGCAATACTTTTTGTACCCTTCCCTAAGATGAAGGCGGAGCACTAAAAGGAAGGAGCTTCCGGACTTTGACGTCCCTTCCGCCATTACCTTTACTTCCTTTTAACCCGGAAACAGCCTCTCCACCCTTCCTGTCCGTGGGACCAACTATAACCTCTGCCCTCTGTTTTCCCTTCCCTTTTCCCCCAAGTTTCTGACGGCGTTGCGGGCGCTATCATGGGAGGCAAGAACAAGCAGCGAACTAAGGGCAACGTACGGGTAAGTGAGTTGATGCCGCCGGGAGGGGATTTGGTATTTCTGGAGAGCGGCCAGATAGGGTTGCTTTTCCAGGGCTTTCGAACACGGAGGGCAGCGCCTTTGCCTAACGTTTGGCTAAATAAAAGATCAGCTTATTCCGCACCAAAAGGGACGCTGTATCTAGACACTAGTTTCAAAGGTGTTGCTTTAATTGTCGCTGGCCAGAGGGAAGCATTGGTTAGTGACTTCTCTAACAAGACTTCACGGGACCCGCCTTGCAATCTTATTTCCCTGTATAGCGAATCCCTCCTTTTAAGATATACGAATATCTAAGTGTGCCTGAACTTCCAAGAGGGGAAAAGAACCAGTAATATTTCAGCTTCTAAAAAGTACATGGCTCGGAACCGTTTGAACTGTCAAAAAATGAATTCAGATAACAAATTACTCCCATATGGGGTTGGCTTTCTTGGTTGTGGCAGTGTCATATGCACATTTTTAATTCTTGGTTGTGGATGGTGTCATATGCACATTTTTTATGCTGTAATCATTTATACCCTTTCTGTTTTAAATAGGGTTACATCCTTGAAGTTAATGAATCTTGTATCTGGAGTGCCTTGTGTGAAAATAGTTAAAACATTTAGCAGCTACTGTATCTTCTCAAAACTTGACGCACTCTTACGGCTTCCATGTTTTCAATGGCAGATACTGTGAATATGTGGGGCCGTGGCTTGTTTGTTTTCTGTTAAATCACATCCTAAATATTTAAGAATGAACACTTTGTAGCATTGTGAAGGCCCTTATGATAGGAATTTTAACTTTGCTCTACAGTAACATTTGTTCAGATACGTTTTTGGGAATTCATTCTCAATACAGAACTCAGATTAAAAGTGATGAAAATAGGGAAAAAGTGATGGATGAAGATAGGAAGAAGAAATGATGGTTAGGAATTAGAAAATCAGTTTATAGTGTAGTTAACCAATGAGAAGTTCATTCAGAAAACCATCCAATTCTGATACCTAGTTAACTTTTTAAATATAGCACTTTCTTTGGGAATCAGTTCCACTCATCTATATTTGTAATTGCCTTCAGAAATAGAGGTGTTGACAGCATGGGAAAATTTGGTGACAACATATTAGTAATAGTTCAACTGTGAAATTGTCACTAGATGTTGTTACCTTATATTTTGTCAATGAGTAATGAGCTTTCTTAAAAATTAATCTGCTGTAGCTTAATTTACAAATTGTCCAATTACTGTTACTATTTTACTTTATTGTAACTTTATTGTAAATTAATAATTTTAAAATATTTTGTAAGCTTTAGCTTGTTTTTTTGGGGGAAGGGGGAGATAAAACGGTATTATTTGCTTTAACAATGTAAAGAATCAAGAAGCAAATCACACAGTTAACAATTTGATATGTATACCATCTTGAGTTTATAAAAATAATAAAGATGGAATATAAATAATTAAAATACAAATTGCAGTTTCAGACATAACAATGATTTCCAAGGAAGTTTGTTTAGGATTTTACAATTCTCAAACAGCAGTTTTTCTTTTTCTCTCTTTCAAATATAGCCTTCCAGCAGTGGAAGAACAGCTGAACTTCTAGCTAAAGAACAAGGAACTGTTCCTGGATTTGTTGGCTTTGGTACCTCTTCAAGTGACCTGGGATACGTTCCTGCAATTCAGGGAGCTGAAGAAATAGATAGCCTTATAGATGCTGATTTTCGTATGGTGCTAAGAAAACTTTCCAAAAGAGATGTCACAACCAAGTTAAAAGTAGGCTGCTACTATTATAGTTAGAGGATCATTATATATTTATTTAAAGGATTAGTAATTGCTGTAACATTTTTGATACTTGGTTTGTTTCTTCCTAACATTTTCCTGCAAGTGCAGAGATCTCTTTTTTCATATCAGTTGAGTGTTAATCCATTGGTTGCATCACGAATTGACCGACTGGCTTGTCAGTCTGAGACTGATATGGACTGAGAGAGAGTGACTGGCCCAAAATCACCCAGCCAACTTTTAAGGTTAAGATGGGACTAGAATTCACAGTCTCCTGGTTTTTCGACTGGTGCTTATTCACTAGATCAAACTGGCTCTCAACCATAATATTTTTGATCTTATAATGTATTTGTAATTTTTATTTTTAAAAAAAATAATTTTATAATATGTAAAAATAAAATATCAAAAAATAAAAGCAGAAAAATAACACAAGCATACACTGCATATAAAAGTCATTCATCCAAGTAACACACTCATTTGCATGGAGTATCATTGTTCTGCTCTTTTATTATATCAATAGAAAGCAGTTGAAAAACAAAGTGAAAATTTAGCAATATTTCAAGGTTTAAGTAATCCTTTTTGTTCTTTCCCAGGTTAATCTATAATTATTTATTTTATCACTTACAGTCCCAGATTCTAGAAATAAAATTCAGTATTGCAATATATTTTTACAACATTAATTTTTGTCATACCATTATGGATAGTATATCATGACAATGGGGCAAGGAACTTCCTGTTAGAATTATAAAATCATTGTATGAATTCAGTAAAAGTTGATATAGAAAATGCAGTGTGTATTATATGTATTAAATCAACATAATTGACATACATTAATATATAGCACAATTATAATATATAGCTGCACATTTCACAGTAGTAACTGAACAAAGTTCACAGTAGTAATCTTGTGCAGAATAAGAAATTGTGCTTGGGAAGGGTGAGTTGGACCCTGAAGATTATTGTATTATATGAAAGTGGCTGAGATGCCAGGTTTTTCTTTCTTTAATTTTAAAGCTGCCAAGAGTTGTGCTTCTTAAAATTGGTGGCCATAGAAGTGTAGTAAACTAAGAGATTAAAAAAAATCAATACTGTCTTGTATACACAGTATCAATTGATAAACAGGAACTTTTTTTAATAATCACCATAACAGAAAGCATATAATAATAGTTAATAGTTCAGCAAAACAGTTTTTTGCTTTTATACTTGCTAGATGTTTTCGTAGTTATCAATTGTCCAGTCATTGCCACTTTTTAAATTGATGATGCTTTGTACCTTTGAAATTGGCTCAAAGGCTATCTAGGTGGTTTCATGCCTGAGGCAAGACTACCACTCCAGTCTCCCAGTTTGTTGCATGATGCTGTAGACTACTACTTTAAATATTATTTAAATCATAATAAATACACAAAATGATATATGTATCTTCTTAATTAACTTTTTCTGAGACCACAATAATGTCACTTAAGACCTATTACAAAGTTAAGCTTTAAAAAAAGTAATTATTTTCTATTTTAGGCTATGCAAGAATTTGGGGTAATGTGCAAAGAAAGAGAGACGGAGATTGTTAAAGGAGTTCTACCTTACTGGCCTAGAATTTATTGTAAAATTTCTCTTGTAAGTACTGAAATTTATATTTATATGGAAACGCTTGAACCAAGCCTGCTTTTAATCAGCTGCCATAGTGGTCAGAGATGAATGCAGAGTTCTGTTGTACCTCTTGGAAGGTTGATTTGTTCTGCAGAAAACTGAGAATTAGATAAAGCAGTGATAGTGTGATAGCCATACGGAAAATTGGACATTAATGTTATTCATATTTTTAGCTGTAAGATATGACTCAGTAAAATTTGCTTTAGAGAAATAGGTAATCTAAAATTGTTCATGTGTATAGTGAAATTATATAATTATTTTTGTACTTGCCAATGTTTATGGTAGGATCATGATCGCCGAGTCCGGGAAGCTACACAGCAAGCTTTTGAACAGCTTATTCTGAAAGTCAGAAAACATTTAGCTCCTCATTTAAAAAACATTATGGGATATTGGCTTATAGCTCAGTGTGATATTTACTCTCCAGCAGCATCAGCAGCAAAAGAGGCATTTGAAAAGGCCTTTCCACCAAGCAAACAATCTGAAGCCTTAATGTTTTGTAAAGATGAAATTTTAAATGTAAGTTTTCAAGTTTGTATGTTTTTTAATTTTTGTTAAATATATAATTAAAAATCAACTGAAAAGGATACACTGTGACTACCTAAAGGAGTTCAGCAAAACAGTTTTTTGCTTTTATACTTGCTAGATGTTTTCGTAGTTATCAATTGTCCAGTCATTGCCACTTTTTAAATTGATGATGCTTTGTACCTTTGAAATTGGCTCAAAGGCTATCTAGGTGGTTTCATGCCTGAGGCAAGA